TCCCAACACAGAAACTAGCACTTCACATCACTTTTAAGTCTTCTTGCCATTTTTTGTTCAATCATCCTGGAACCTCGGAAATCAACTAAAACTCTCCTGGAAACTCTTAACTACGTTTTACCCTGCACTGCACTGTGCGCTAATATAAGCTACAACAGGTCTTCGTTATATGTATATCGTACGTTGTCTGAAAGGACAACAAAAAAAAACACCTTCTTCTTTTGTTAAGGATGCGTGTTTACAGTTTCGCTGCCTGGCAACAGACATCCTCTTGTTCCGCGAGTTTGCTTGGTGCGGACCGCATAGGAAGCATAGTTTCCCCTATATTGTTGCCAAGTTCTTAAGGAGGGTTGTTTACCGGCCGTCGCATAGAAACTGCAGTTCTTCTATTGTTGCTTGTATTCCTTGCCGTGAGAATATTTACGGACATTCCTCTGTTGTTGCGTAACCTAGCAACGGACTGCTTACCAAGAAACTGTCTTCGCGGAAAATTGTTTACCAAACCGTTGCCTAGCAATGGATGTTTGCAGAGTTATGTTACGTTAAGGAAGGTGGTATAGTCAGCAATGGGCTTTAATTGGCTGAGTTTTGCCACGAGCGCTTCCTTCCAAACTCTTTCCAATTCAGTATCCCCAGCAATCCTACCATTCGATGCTATACGTCCCGAGTTACTGACTGCGCCTTCAGAGGAAACAGACAGGCTGATTAGCGTGTATTAGAGCGGACAGGATATGTGAGGAAGCGGTCACAGACTAATTTAAGGTAAAATCACGGATACGGGAGTGGGGATAGCTCAGTCGGTACAGCGACAGCCAAGGCGCTGGACGGTTAGGGTGCGGTTCCCGGCAGGGGCAAAAATGTTTCTCTTCTCCTCAGCATCCAAACCGGCACTGAGGAACATTCAGCCCCCTATAAAACGGGTACCTGTGGCTCTGTCCCTAGGTATAAATTGGGCAAGGAGTGTGGATGACCACTCACTTCCATCTAGTGCCTAGGTCAAGAATGGTGGAGCTATACCTCCACTCCTCCATACGTCTTAATGCTGTAGTATTAATTAAGCACAGGAAATCCCTTATCCTTCTGCAATCCCGGACGTGGCTAGAGGGACCTAGGAAAGCTACAAAAACAGACTGGGTCCGCCAGTCCCCGGTCCAAGATCAAAACCCGGCACCTCCGGAATACGAAGCAATAGTGCCTCCCATTCGGCTGCAACGTTTAGTGTCTATGTCTATGTAAAGTAACAGAATTTAAAAGGTTCTGACGATGGTATATAGTACTCAGAATTACAGGGTTTTGGACTTTGTCTATCGGCCGGTATTCTAGAAACCAGAAAGCACAACGTTTCGGAAACTGGATCTGTTTCCGTCCTCAGATTGGGGGGGGGGATACATATTACGTTGGGTCCCTTAGAAAGAGCTAACCTCAATCACTGGTCCAGTTTCGGAAACGTTGTGTTTTCTAGTTTCCAGAATACCGGATGATGGACAAAGTCCAAAACAAAGTAATTCTGAATAAAGTAACAATTCCTCCACTGTAAACGAAGGTCCACTTTTATCTGTCTTTCTGTGGGTAACACGATAAACGAAAAATCCTTAAAACAGAAATGGTGGAAGATTACTGGCTTACGGGACGTGATACCGTCCAGTCTGTCAGAATGTTACCCATGTAGAAGCAGGGTACACATTAGAAACTGAGTGCAACAAGCTTCCTGGAACTACTGCGAATCTTCTACCAGAATATAGCGGCACTCAGTCAAGCCGTGAGGACCTCCTGAAGATGGATGTCTCATGTTTACAGTTTCTTCGTGAAAATGATGACCGCATCAGACACTAAAATGAACTTCTCGTGTACATGCCATTAGCACGCTAAACTCACATGCATGGGCTATGCCAACGCTGCTTCTCAGAGAGTAAAGGGTAATGCCCTAAGTCAGGGGTTCTCGAACTTCACGATACCGGGACCCTCGACATTAATACAGAAGTTTACGGGACCGTTCATCTCTGCCGTCAACGAAAAATGCAGTTCTGTCCATTGTTGCACATCCCTAACAATTATATGGTGACAGCAGGAACCTAAATGAAGTCTTACACCTAAAGTAGGCTGTAAAATATTCTTGTACGGTCACGGGCGAAATTCGCGAATTGTTTCACAGGCCACAGCTGCGTCCTTCGAAAGCTCCTACATTACATCTTACTGACTCTGCCGGAACTCTACGTGGATACGCTGTATTTTAAACAGTCGCTGAGAATTCGACGACCCCACTTGAAGTAGGCCGCGAGCCCTTCGGGGGTCGTGATTCGCAGTGTAAGAAACCATGTTTAAGCTACTTGGCCTTATGAATTCGCTTCTTGTTTTGATATGTCTTTCTGACCGCACATGCTAAGAGACCCACCCATCCGTCATTAATAAGGAATCGAACTCCGTATCGTGGCTAAGGGCGCCAGCATAATTTCTAATTATGGATATCATGTCTATAGACATATTTGCCCTCCTCTATAAATGTTGGACAGTCCCTAATGGCATGATGTTTGATCCAAGTTTCATCAACATTATTTAAAAATTACAGAGGAGGGCATAGTCACATTCGTTTGCAGTCGAGATGGAAAACAATACATAAACAGGAAGCTCTGGAACACGGACCGCATATAAAACGGCACAACCAATATTTATTCTATTGTTGCCTGGGTATTCGTTACCGCGGAAACCTGTTTACCGAGCCGTTGCCTAGAAACGATAGAGGGGAAACATATACAGACACATATAGAGAGGTGATCTCATAAGCCTACTTTCATTATTCTGAAAAAAAATGGAGGCTTAAGAGATCACATTTGCTGTGTGTCTGTGTACCCCCATAATTCTTTCCTCTTCTAGGCGATCTGTGCAGTATCAAAGGAAAGTAAGCTACAAACAGGAGGGCCGCGCCATAGCTCAAGCGGTTAGTCGCTGGCTTCCCACCGCGGCGGCCCGGGTTCGATCCCGGGTCTGGTCAAGTGGGATTTGTGGTGGGGGCAGGTTTTCTCCAAGTACTTCGGTTTCCCCTGCCAATATTCATTCCACCAATTGCTCCACAATCACCCTCACCTATCATCTGGGGCTGGTACAATAGGCCAGAAGTGGCCGCAGTACAAGGGACTTAGTCCCACCCCACTAGCATTAAAATAAAGAAGCTACAACAGTGTTTGAGGAAACTTTGGCATAAGTAAACAGTTAAATAAATAATTTGCGATATGTACATAACAGTGCAACGAGCCGCTTTTAAAAAACTGGAAAGCAGTCCACTATTTTCCGTTTGCCATTAAACAATACACAGACTGCATGTCCGTCTGTCCTAGGGAAGGAGTGCAACTGTTGAATACGTATATTGAAAACGATAAACAAACGACGTTTCGGAAGCGGCAATATGACGCACTTTCAACTAACCGATTGACCAAGTAATAAACTGTGTGGCTAACTAACTAGTTAATGAACCAACTGATTAATATAATTTACAACTGGCAATCTATCTCACTGATTAATTTACTGACTAACTAAAATTACTGCGAGTTTTGACGATGTAACAGTGATCTGGTAGAATCAGAGTACGTGGCGTTACAACCTACAGGACACTATCATCTTGTTAAGAGAATACGTAACTAACAAACGAACCAAACAGAAAATATACGGTTCTCAGTACAATCCGACAGTTACACCCCTACACTGACAACAGTACGGCGTCACTTTCACCCTTACGACACAGTTAACTCCTTTCGGGGATACAGATTCTGACTTGCAATTGGGGGCATGTGGTTCGAATCTCGACTGTATAAGAAGCTCTTCTGAGTGAACATTTTCTCGATTTTCCTGAATCTTTTGACAGGAATGTCACAACAGTTCCTTGATATTGGCTATAATCGTCTCCTCCAAGTCTTATAATTATTCAGCATTCATGGATCAAAAGGGGCGACGCCGTAGCGTAGTTGGTCGAGGCACTATGCTACAAGCCGGAAGGTCGCGGGTTCAAGTCCCGATGAGGTCATTGGATTTTTTCAATTGACCTAATCCTTCCAGCCGCACTATGGCCCTGGGGTCGACTCAACCTCTAACAGAAATGAGTACCAGGAATTAATTAAATAATTTTCCTGGGGAGCAAAGCGCGGCCGGCGCGTAAGGCTGACAACCTTACCGCCATCTTTGAGCCGATTGTCTAGATCAGGCATATCCAACACGTCGATCGCGGGACGATTTTTCGTCGATCTCATAGGCCTATAAGGAAATTATACGTTAAAAGCATGTAAATTCACTTGCAATATAATATGATTATACTCAGATTTTGAAGGGAAAGTGCGTATTAAAGTAGTCTGTACTTTCAATGTATATTGCTTTTACAACAAACAATGCGTCGTGTTNTAGATCACTGGCAGTTTTGACACTAAAGAGTCGATCACAACCTCTTTGAAGTTGGACATGCCTGGTCTAGATAATGTGGGACCCTCAACCCTATGGACCTTCACGGCCTGTTACAGGGATAGCTTTACTTTTACTTTAATGGATCAAAGAGGTACGTGTGTTTCTTTCCTCCCGGGTAAAGTGTTCGGAAAGTGAGAACTCTTTATGCCCTGATAGAGTAGTGCTTAAGTACGGAGACATATTTTCTTATTATTGTGCAGTCGCATAAATATTGCTTCCACCCATGCTACGTTAACCTCTGCCTCTGAAATTGTGTCTTTAAGTAACGTAAGATTCAACCATGCGAAAGCTGTGGAAATTGAGGTTCACTGTTTCAAAATTAAGGTCTTCTGGAATGTGACTCCGTGTAGACTGGTGTCAACGATTCGGAGGAACCTACTTCCTTCATCATCAGGGTTCATTCTTCTATATTAATTACTCCTGGTTCCTCCGAAACGTAGGAACCGATCTACAAACTACACGGTTCCACATTCGAGACGTGCGTAATCTACGTACAAGTTACGTCTCTTCACTGTTGATGTGGCGGCAATACGCACAACAGATCACTGTCTAACCTGAAGATGTCCACAGTGGGCTCCCGGAAGATCCAGGTGAGATCCTTGTCTTCCCGCGGCACCACACGCATGCTGATGCTCAGGTACCCATAGCGACTGAAGAGGTTGATGGCACCGCCGAGGTGCGGCAGCTGCTGTTGCTGCTGGCCAGCCATGGGGCCGCACGCGGCGACAACGGCGGCTAACACCACCAGCACCGCCCGGCCCCACATCGCGCTCCCACGGCTCTGCGTCTTCTGCTGCAACAAACAGTTCCATCGTCAGTCGTAACACGGCTGGCGGGCGGCCTTGGAGCGCTGTCACGTCATGAGCCAGCACAAGCAACGGCTCCCAAACAGTCTCTTTTATTATACTTTGTACAACTTACTTCCTCGCCGCTCCCGAATTTGCTAGTATTGTTGCATCAATGCCGAACACATACTATAAACATATATATTATGGTTATAGTGATCGACTGACAATTATGAATAATAACTGGCGTTTTTATAAAATTAACATCTGTTCGTTTTATACAATCGTGGTTATTTTATTATTATTATTATTATTATTATTATTATTATTATTANGAAAACCGAGTTTAACGGCCATGGCGATGACCACGCGACACAGTCTATCCACTAAAGCTGACACTAACTTCGCCGACAAGCGGCGGTCGCTCGGTCGGTATAGTTCGCTTGCGGACTAAGACAACGGAGTTTAGATTTTAGTTTTAGTTTTTATATGTTTTAATGTCGAAAGACTGAAACGTTGCGGACAGACCTTCAGGTTCATGTTGTTAGGAAGGAATTAAGTGACTAGCTCAAGAAGAGAAATATCATACGGCAGAGTCAAAATATATGGCACCATGCAGTCTTGTAGATGCCCACCGACGTGTACGAGGAATGTGCTGACTCCATCTTCAATATCGACGAATAAGGCAAGCACGCCACCGGCAAAAAACAACCAACAAGCATTGACTTACTGCATGCTTGTTTGGCTTATTCATAAACCCTGAATATATAGGCAATGTGTTCCTCTGAAACGTCGGTGAACTTCTACCGGGCTGCACGGCGTCACATCCCACTAAATAGTACTCTTCATAGTGACCGCTGTGAGAATCTCGAATGTATCTTGGATATAACGCCGTGTAATCCGTTAAGTCAACCGACGTTTGGGAGGAACATATCGCCTCCATCTTCAGAGTCTAAGAATAAGCCAAGCAAGAGACAAGCATGAATGCATGTGGCAAGAAGTGCTGAAGATGGAGGTGAAATGTTCCTCCGAAACATCAGCTGACATTCAACTGACTACACGACATTAGAGTTAAGAAGACAGAACTCTTCTTAACAACCACTGTGAGAATATTGTGACATGACGCCTGAAGGCTGCAATCTGCCCATCGCTAAGCACGTTCCTGTGCCAACACGGAAGGCGCCGCTGCTGGACGGCGAATTGTTGGAGCACGTTTCCATAGCAACGAATACTACTGAAGCAGCAATGTATTGCATACAGAGTCACGTCGATTCCTAGGCAACGCATATAGAAACGTTTCCGTTCACACTGCAACGAACCTCCAAAGCTCAGCAACAGCGAAGAATGCGATAACTCTACTGTTGACGGAGGTGGTTTCCATACGGTTCGACCAGAACCTACCTCAGGGTGAGAACTGACCAACAGATTAGTTGAGTACAGAATAAGACAGAAGACATAATTCAACACAAGACAGAAAAAGAAGTCAGAAGTGAAGTTTTTATTTTAGTGGTGTAGTTACAGTAACCTTTAGAGTGTTATCATTGTTCGTAGTTACGAAGTGTTATAGTTACAGTAAAACTGTGTTACAACTAATTGTAGTTCGCCTGGTAAATATCCAATAAATCGATTCATAAATCCAGAGAACCCATTAATTACTTGTCGCGTTACCAGGATATGAGACAGTATCAAATCCTATTACAATAAGTACAAAGATAGCGAATAAGTCCCATGCAATTTGACAAAATTCATATATTTCGTAATCGACAGTAACAAGTCAATAAAATATGCGTAATCAAATTATGGACCTATTAAATTCATGGATGGCTTCTATACACTTCAGATTTTATATTTTCCCGAGTTCTGTAAAAAATACTAAATATTTTTACACACACACACACACACACATATACCAGCTGTGCCCGGCCACGCCTTGCTGTGGCTCAGTCTGCACGTTCTTCCCCAGTTTCATTTGAAATTACTCGACGCATTGCTTCCACTCCGCGAATACGACGACCTAAGCCTGTTCTTAGAAAACGAAAAGAAAAACAATGAAAAATAAACTATACTTACGAAATAACTTCCACGCACGTCTCGAGTACAATTATTATCACGTCCAGTATCACCGAAAAATTCTTCGGAGCTGGACTATTATAACCCGGTTTCGGACGCAATAGAGGGTACTTTCGCCCAGGGTTCCATTTCACGTGTTCTGTGCTCGTTGCCGCAGAAGTGCATTATTTCCGCAGTTTCAACAGTTCGTTGCCACGGTTATTCCTAGGCAACGATCTCTTGGTATTCGATGGAAGACGTATAACACGTTACAGTATATTATATTGAAAACAATTAATACTTTTACATGTTTTTACCTGTCACGGGTGTGACATCTATATAATAGGTATATGATAGCTCGCACGTGTTCGAATGCAACGTTGTGTCAAAATTTCGAAGCGATCGGTGAAGAAGTTTCGGAGATCTTAGGTAAGACTCAAACGAACATTTACATTTTTATTTATATAATAAAGATATATATGCGGAGCCGGGATAGAGTAGTCGGTATAGCGACTGGCTACGGGCTGGACGACCGAGGGGTCGGAGTTCGAGTCCCGGTAGGGTCAAGAATTTTTTCTTCTCCGCGTCATCCAGACCTGCTCTGGGGTCCACCAAGCCTCCTGTCCAGTGGGTACAGAGTGCTCTTTCCTCAGCAGTAAAGCGGCCGGGGAGTGAAGCTGACCACTCACCTCCAGCTAGTGCAGACGTCAAGAAAATGTTGATCTATACATCCACTCCTCCATACCCCTTCATGGCGTAGTGCTTAATTAGTTAAGCTCAGGGACAATTTTACGTTTCTTACCTTAGCTTATATATATATATATATATATATAGATAGATAGATAGATAGATAGATAGATAGATAGATAGATAGATAGATAGATAGATAGATAGATAGATAGATAGATATAAATACATGTATATACGTGTGTGTGTGTGTTTACTCTGACCCATGTTTCTCTGGGGGAAGAACACTTGCATGTGTTAAGCGACTAGAAGCAAGGTTTGAACTGAATACTGAATTTACTGAATGCCCGAAATTCGTAACTGCAAATACTTACTTCACTTTCACTGTTCTACGCACTCTTACACACTCTTACACCCTCTACCAACATCTACAGAACATTCTAAATTTCCCCATTGTGCTATGTCTTCATTAGTCGTTGCTCTGCAACGGTTTCTACTAACGACTTCCCGCTGGTATATAACTTTGGCTCGTACCACATAGAAAACACCGTTTCCAACAGTTCCTCTATTGTTACGTGCGTATCCCCTGCCGCGTAAACGTGTTTGCCGAGCTGTTGCCTAGCAACCTCCGGCTCCACTATTCCTACTTTCAGGCGTCTTGCCACGATATAATGAGTACGAAATAGTGTATCGGGCTGTTATGCTGTATTGTCTTGACTCATGCATAACAAATGTTCCGTCAACAGAACTACTGTATACCGATGAATTAATTATCCATCCATCCATCAGTAATCTGTCAGACGACAGGTCCACAGTCTCTTCCAAAACAGTTCCTCCACTTAATGCGATCTTCTGTTTTTGGAAAGAGACTATCCAGGAAAAGTGATAATGTGGTAGTTTTTCCATTTGCTTTCCACATCGCAGTACAGCAGCCGTTCAAACCACTCTGGTCACGCCTGTTGCTATACGAACTTGAACCATCTCGAGCATCATTTGCTCTGTGCTTCAAGTCGCTGCTGATGACGCTGCTTCGGGCATCAGTTTTTGGTGTCTCTCTTCGTCTGATGCCTACCCTTTGACCTGTCCAGCAAGGGAGGCCCTGCCAGTAGCTACGCTACCGCTGGTATAGCTCTCAGGGTCCTTGGCATACTCAAACCCCCCACCACGATAAGGTGGAGACACCAACGAGGGGGGAATTAATTATATGCAGTTCTCAATTATCGTGGCCATGTTTCGAGCTGTTTGCAATAACCAGACTGTATAAAATTTATTGCCATCTATTATTATTAACTTACTTACCCTGTTTTTTAAAAATAAAAGTAGGCTTATAGGATCACTTTGCTTTCTGTGTGGCTGTGTTCCCTTCAATAAGCCTGAATATTTGAGTCAGAATAGAGGCTCTTTGCTAGGCAACGGCTCTGTAAACACGTTTCCGCAGTAACGAATACACATATGAGAGGAGAACTGTTGGACGCGGATTTTCTATGCGGTCCGTGTAGTATCAAATACTCAGTATGTAGTGAAAGTAATGTACCGGTAGGCCATTAACCCCGTGTGGAGGCGGGGTCGAATACCTCCACCATGACCCTGCGAGTAGTAGGAGGCGACGAAAAGGGAAGTCTCAAATGTGAGACAGTAAAATATTGTCGCAAGTCCCAAGGGACTAGGACCCGAGAAACACTGCACTTGCAAGGACCAGCAGCATATGCAAAATACAGACCCGTCCTCTCGTCAGAGAGGGCGCTCCACAGAAACAAGACGGTAACAGTCGAGGAGCCATAAATATCTGGTCATGAGCCCCAGGAGGGTGCTCGATACCAAGACTTACTGACTGACCGTCAGTCGCAATGTGACTTGGACTTGGTAGGCCATTAACCCCATGTGGAGGCTGGTTCGAATACTTCCACCGTAGCCCTGCGAGTCGTAGGAAGAGACGAAAACGGAACCCAGTGCCTGGGGGTATAACTGGGCCACCCTGTTCCTGGGGAATGCAAATACGGGAACCTGGTCCTCCAGAGTCTCGAATCTGAGACAGTAAAATCTGATCATGAGTCCCGCGGGACTCGGACCCGAGAATGACTGAGCTGGCGAGGTCCATCAGCAACTGTAAACTATAGACCAATTCTCTCGTGAGAGAGGATGTTACATAAGGATTATAACCGTAAGTGTTCAGTAGGAAAAATATTGGTTGTGATTGTCACGGAGACGAACTGATTGGCGGGAAACAGCCAGTCGCAAAGTGACTCTGACCCTGACTGGTAGGCGATTAGTT